CATGGAATTACTGATAGAACCACCACTCCGATGTCGTATACGGGGAGAAGGTCTGTCGTGATGAGACTAGTGCCCTTTGGCCTCGTGCTCTTACTCTTGTCTACTCTTTCTTCAGGTGGAGCTGTTTCTTCACTTCTCATCGATACCCCTCGTTTATAGCGTACGTTAGCAAGCTGTTACGGCAGTTTTGGATATTTTTGATAATATTTTTTCCTCAGTTGGAGGGTCCTTCGCAGCCTAAACAGCAAATACACGAACAGGACAACTTGTTCAAGCAAAAGGTGCGAAACAAGATACGCCGTGACATTCGGACCATTCCAGCCCAACAAGATGACCAGATCCCTGGTCCAGGCTGTGAAAGTGATGAAAAGCTTCCATGCCACGGCTCACTCTTGATTGGGGCCGAACTCATTTCGTGATCATGTATCAAGGACAGCCTTTTATCTTTTCTTCGTTAGGCTGAACTCTGTGTCCGTGCCCGGATCAAATCCATAGAGGGGCTGTCCGAAGCGTCGGACGGTAAACAGAACCTAACCATGGGGTTGAGTTAAGCAGTCATCTGGAAGATGCACCGAGGCTGGTATCAACCTACATCCTGGACCGTGATAGTCTTGGCCTTTCTATACTCAACGTATTTGATACAATCATTGATGATCTAACACAATGTTACTGACACAGCGGTCACTAAGGGTAGGGTCATCGCGATGCCTCCCATAGAGGAACATACCATTTTCAGCCTAGCTATTAAGACCTCACGAATCTGAACAAAATCAACTACTTCTACGGAAAAAGATAGCCTCAATGCAGGTGGCGCTCACGTCGTTGTATATAGTTCCAGAGATGAATTTGACTCCTCCCCGGCGAGCTAGACGTCTGGGCCGTGGCGATTAGTGAGGAAAATAGATATTGGACGGAAATGAGGAGGCCCTCGCCGCTCTCCTCTGTGCCTTGCAAACGGGTCACCGCATGTCATGAAAAGAACAGAAGTCTATCGACATTGTGGGCAAGGCGTCTGTGAGAGTCTGAAAGGCAACACCGTCCAGCAACGTGCCTACTACCCAGCGCGAGAGCGAAGTAGGAGACTTACCGAATGTCCGGCTTGGCTGGAATACATAAACTGACTCAGCTCTCTGCAGTGCCTAGTGTGATTCGTGTTTGGAACTTATGTACGTACTGATGCCGGGGATGGCGTCCTTCTTCATCTTCCTATAGCCACTATCAGAAACGGCACCCATACAGATATGCGAGCGACACTCCAGGTATAGAAAAACTTACCGCATGCGTTGAGGGCCGCCGAAGTAAGACTTACCCCTTCCTACCCCCGCTGGTCCACCTTTCTGAGTAACACTAGGAGATGGCATGGCGTTGCCTGGAGCCACCAATGAGGGTGTGTTTTTACCGACGTGGGTTGTATTTGAGTGGTGTATGAGTGGTTGGGGAAGATCTCTTGAGGGCGACACTGGTGGTGAACGTCGCAAAGATGGTGTAAGGACTTGACGTTGGCGACGGAGGGAGCAGTCGAGACCGTGCTAGCCGTTTGTTCAAGGCAAAGGCGCGTAGTGTACGTGTGTGCAGGGAGTACTACCAACCTAATGTGATGGTAGAGACGGAGGCAACCGCGACGAAAGTGGATAGGTGAAGTAATTCCTACCGTTTCTGCCTACGCGTCTCATTGTGGTTCTTTGCAGGGAACTTGTCAGGTTCCTGGGCACAAGGTCTGAGCTGCAACCTGCAGGCTCTAGGCATGGCGGGCAAATGATGCAGATACCACTGTTCTTGACAAAGTTCTTCCCGCCTTTCGTCAGGGCAGTGAACTTGTGTTTCAGTAGTCGCCATGTCGCACATTGTGCCATGTAGCGTGAATTACGGCCTTCACGCAGCTTTGTTAAGCTGCCAAGCACGAAAACAAGACGAAAACCAACGCTCGAAACATGGTAAACGGAAGTGTATTAGTTGAAATGTGGTACTGATAGGCTCGGCAAGGACCCTGCCAGCGCCAAGACCAATCGAATTTAAATGTTCTGAAGCGACTGAACGGTCCGTCTCTATTAACGCCTTAACCAATGGCATGCATACTAATCCAACTCAATCGAGCACGTAAAAATTATGACTTACGCCTCAGAGATGAACGTGGCCTCGCTGAACAACTGGCCCTCCTCTGAGATCTCCTCGTCGCCAATCTTCAGCTTGAGTGTGAGCTTCTTCTCCTGGGGAGAATACTGTCGTACTTGTTAGCTAGACGCTTGCATTCGACATGCAAGTACGACTCGCGATACTGCTTACCTGGTAAATATATGGCTTGGTTCCCGCAGCACCTGCGACGATCCTCTTGACAAACGCAGGCACCTCGGCCATGACGTCAACCCTGTCGAGACGCTTACCCAGATCACCCTCGATAACAGCCTCCACTGCCTTGCCGTCCTTCGTCTTACCAGACCAGGTGAACTTGATCGCCTCAGGCTCGGGCCACTCGCTCTCCGAGTCAGTCTTAGTCCTGGTGTGCGCGACGGTGCTGTCGACACCGCCAATAATGATCTCACCGTCCTTGGCAATACCGCCAATAGTGACTGTGGTGGTGCCATACGAAGGTGGGGTGACGAACTGCATGAGGACAGCCGAGTAGGTGGGGGTCTGGAAGTCGGCAAAAGTCCAACGCGCTGCGGCATGGTGCGGCTTCATGCCCTGAAGTGCGAACGAGTAGAAGGCCTTGCCGGTGAAGTCGATGGGGCCATCGGGGGTGGTGATGGTGCCCTCAGCGGCGCACCTCGGCCAGAAGGCGTGGCGCATGGAGCCCCAAGGATTTCCGAGGTCAGTGCCGTACAAGGTGTTGCCAGTCTTACCGGCAACGAAACCAGGCGCCTTGCGAGTGATCTTAAGGTTGACGATGGATCGCTGATCGTTCAAGCTCTTGATCGTATAGTTTGTGCCATCCTCCGAGAGATCGAGTGCGCAGTCGTCGGCGTAGAAGCTGGCCTTGTCCTCGCTGAAACCGTGGTTGCTCAGCTGCGTAGAGCACCAAAGGTGGGGCTTGGAGCCATCGAGGTAGAAGATCTTCGAGTTGAACTGGACAGTGGTGTGGATGCCACTGCGAAAGTCAGCACAAGGTTCATTCTGAGATGATTCAGTCATGGACGCACGCGACATTGCTGTAGATGACTTGGGCGAGAGCGAGGTGCTTTCCATCGTCCGACATCAAGTAGAAGCTCTGAGTCTCGACGGACGTAGAGTCCATAGCCTTCCACTTCAGGTCGTCCCGGGTGAGCTCGGTATGGCTGGTCTCCTTTGCCTCCTCAGCGACGGTCCTGATGGCTGCAGGGCCATAGATAGGCTCCTGAGTGCCCGCGACATCGGCGAGCCTGGTCATGTGGTCAGCCTAGGGTGAATCTCGAAGCAAAGGGCTGCTAGAAGTGTACTTTTGCTTGGCCCAGTTAAACATAATGACGGGTGGGTGTAAGGGTGGCCTGGGGGGATAGATGGAGATGCGGAGCAAGAAGAAATTATTATCCTGTGAACAAGCTTTGAAGTACTGGGTTGCAGTGGATAGCCGTGTTACTCTAGAAATAGAGGCTGAAGGGAAGATTTGTTGGACGGAACACCGGGTGACCGCTCCTTGACGTTTGTGGAGGGGTCGTTCAGTGATGGGGAGATATGGGCGATAATGCACAAGGTGTGGCGCACGAAACCAGAAGTCCCGTCATAGTGGAGCCCATCGTCGATTCGGCAGCAGTCACTGGCCGAATTCGTACGCGACAATGCCTAGCACCCGAGCTTGACCCGGACCCGCCAAGGTGCTGTGCTTCAGGGGAATGTGTGGCTAGTGCCACCTGGGGGGGTGCGCGTGGTCGCGAGGTGCCAAAATTTCCAAGCACATCAATCACCTATTACCGACCTCTCAATCGTCACCCACGTCATCAACAACCAGCGATTGGAATCCCGCTACCACGATGTCAAAAGTTGCGAGAGATCAGCTCGTGAAGCTGATTGTTGGTGCCGGCCAGGCCAGCCCCAGCCCCCCCGTTGGTCCGGCGCTGGGTAGCAAGGGTGTTAAATCGATGGATTTCTGTAAGGTGAGCTACTACTGAACGCTCGTTGAGCTTGGATCGAACACCGTCAACAACAGCTCCAGCCTCGCTGACTGCGTTTATCTCGTAGGAGTTCAATGCGCGTACACAACACATCAACACCGGAACGCCGCTGCCCTGCAGGGTTATTGTTCGCGGAGACCGATCGTTCCACTTTGACATTCGCACACCACAGACCTCGTGGCTTCTTCTGAACGCTGCCGAAGTCGAGGTCGGGCAGAAGGGTCGGAGGAAAGGCGCCAGCACCCCCGGCCACCAGACGGTCGGCACCGTCAGCCTGAAGCACATTTACGAGATCGCAAAGATCAAGCAAACCGAACCGCGTCTATCGGGTCTCAGCACGAGGGGTCTTTGCCGAGCCATCATCTATCAGGCAAGGTCGATTGGCGTCAATGTTGTACCATGAGGGGGATGGATTTCTTGCAACTACAGCAACATGAGCCGGCGCAAAGCAGAGAAGGAGGAGAGCCATTAGGAAGATGCTCGTCTGTATATCATCGGGCTGGCACGAGATGATGTGCCGCTGTATAACATTGAAAGGCGCAGCGTGTTTGTTGCAGGGTTTTGGGGGCGATATAGATGAACAATTTGGAACTTGAAATCAACGATCTCCAGCAAAAGGGATTACGTCGCAATTGTCGTAACTGATGCTACCTGGAACGCACCACCAAAGTCCAGACCTTCGCTCGCAACCGGGACCGAAGGCGCGGTTCGGGACATGTTCGGTACACGTTCACCTGGCCGCGTATCATCCTTGCAGAGCCACGACGCCTGCAAATAGTGTTCCATGACAACTTATTCTCACTCATTACATGATAGACACCGGTTGTATGATCATGTAATGCCAAGCCAATTTGTTGGCAAGCTGGGTGATTTGTGCAACACATCGTATGTCTGTCAGTTATCCTGAAACCTGGCCAGAGTTCCTTGCCGTATCTAGGACCAGGCATCCTTATTGTGATTCGGGGTTGGCAATGACCAACTCGCCGCATGCGGATATTGGCCATCATCAAGCAAACGAGGGAGACCAATGGATTGGGATGTAGTGGAATGGCGGGGGCCGAGCGGCGTCATGCAGAAGAACATTCCAAGGTGGACCCTGGCTGACACCAGCAGCACCTCAGTTGGACACATGGAAATGCCGTTCGCGCCAACGTTGGCGTTTTCGTCAGGCACCGAAAGTGGCTGCTGAGCTGCACACAGCAGTAGGAGACTCTGCCCCAAGCGTTCACGCCAAGGGTTGTAATCGTGAGGAGACCTATGAATGTTAAGTGCCGCGGCCCAACACCACTAGGTTCCTAGGATTTTTCAATGGTGCAATAGAAGTGGCAGGCAACGATGCCTCTGGCTCACATGTAAGTCAGCTTGCCTCGCTTGCAGACGGTGTTAGGACATGACTAGCTTGGCTCATCCAGTCCAGGTCGGTGCACTGCAACAGCTGAAGAGGAAGGGAAGAAAAATTGTTTACTTGTCGAGATTTTCTTCCGTCTCGCAAGGTCATTCGCCTCTTCTTTTTTTCTCAGAAAAAAAATCGCCCCTCAGGAGGCGTTTGCCTCCAGCAAGCTCTGTACGTACAACAAGAGTCATCGGCGTTCTGGATATGCAATCGGATGGACCTTTGGAAGTGGTCGAGACTCGAAAAACTGGAGATTGCCAGGCTATTTGGGCGTTCCGCCGACGCGTTTGCTAATACCCTCCTCTGCTTGGCTGGACAGATGTAAGGGCGGAGGGTCACCGCTGTCGTCAGCCGCCGCTTCGTAATTTTCTGGTGGCAGTCAGTCCGTAAGGTGCATCGACGTGAATGAGGACCGGGCGTGTGGGATGCCAATTTTGTTGCTGATGGAGACGAGGCGTGATGTGATTGCGTCGGTTGCGATGGGTGTCTGACAGAGGATCCAGGTCCTGGATCTGCCTTAGGCGGCATGGGCTGCCGGGCGCTCGGAAGCGGCGCCGGGGGCGGTAACAGCTGGGGGTGACAGAGGATCCTGTAAATCTGCCAAGTGCTGAGCCCTGTCTGGCATCCCTGGGGGGGAATAGAGATCAAGCCCCGTGGTGCAAGTGGAAGGTTGCTGCTGGGCTCGCTGCAACAACCCGACGACCAGGGCCGATCCAGGCAAAGGCAAGGCAAGGCAAGGCAAGGCAAGGCAAGGGCGCCCCACCATCCGCAATTGGTGTCGCGGCACTGCACCTTCGAGGCTAGTGCTAATCTGGTAGGTTAGTGGATATCCCATCTTTTTATCAGCCAGAGGCCCGGTCCTCATGCCGACCTACCTAGACCTCTCTGATTTCGTCTCTTTCCCCGCCACCCTCGCTCGAAACTCATTCATGTGCATATGCTGTCGTCCGTGATATCGACTTAGCTCTGAGCAGCTTTATACCGACAGAATCACCAATTCGCCAGCATGGCTGCCTCCGAAGCCGATGTGAGGCCTCAGGGACCCGAGTCACAGTCACAAGGTACGCTTCCGCAACTTCCGGATCGCTGCACGCCTGGAGCAAACCCCGCCCTCGGGCCGCACCTATTTCGACTCAGGAAGCCATGACATGTGCCCCCCTCACACTCATGATCGTACTGACCTCTTTTGTGCCTCGCGCACGACATGCAGATCCCAACAACATCATTGTCACACAGCCAGACGAGAAGAAGGACATCGACAGCACCCCCGACAAGGCGAACCCAGGCGTACACTTCGCCCCCACCGTTGAGGAGATCGCTCCCGCGGCCCCGACGTCAACGATCTCGAACCCCGCCCACGAAAACACTGATGCCATTTCAGAGGTCATGTCGGATCAGCTCAAGGAGCTGACCACATCGCTGCAAGCCACGAATCTTCAGGGCCGGCGCCTCAGCCGCTTCGCCTTTGACCCCTACTCGTTGCCCGCCTCGAGGGTACGTAGCTCGCCTTTCTTTCCCACCTAGTTGAGCATTCTAGGCTGTTTCAGACAAGCCGTGCCACTCCATCGCAGTATCCATGATGCGACATGACAGGAACACCATATCACCTGCGCTTCATCTGCGCTCACTTCTCGGCCATATGAACATGAATACTTCGTGGTTGCAGAGCTGCCTGTGATTGTTCTCGGCCCATGAAATTTCCAGTACATGTCATCTACGAGGTGTCTACGTTGGCTTAGTTTTTCACACCTCATTGCTAACCCCAACACCTTGCAGGTCCCGTCTCATGAAGACGAGTCCGCTGGCTCGACGCGCTTGCCAACCCCGAGCCGAGGATCGCCCCATTTGGGTCCAGCAGTGCAGCAAATGCAGTCTCCGCCTTTGACGCCTTCGGGTACCGATGCTATTTCCAAGGGTAAAAGCACCACTGGCAATGACACGGCTGCTATAACGCCGCAGGCATCTACCTCACACGACGGCGCATCCCCTCATTCCGCTCGAAGGGGAACAGCTCCCCGTTCAACTTCCAGCGACCAGATTCCACAAGGCGGAGACCATAGCGATGATACACATCAAAGGTCTCATCGTCGCGGTCTGTTCGACATCGGACCTGGAGGCTCGACGCCCGTCTCGCGCGAATCTAGTCCTTCTCGCGCTTCACAGTTCTACTCGAAACCCTTGACGCCTCAAGGAGACGCGAATGATCCATATGCCGCCAACAAGCGTCAGCCGCTGAACAAATTTACCGATCGAAACAACGTCGAGTCGAGGTTCCAGTTCAGTAAAAGGAAGCCAGGGCAACACTCTCCCTCGAGCTCAACCACTAGTCTCGTAAACAACGACAAACGTCACTCGACACTCTTTGGTGGCCGCCGGCACCATCGAGAAGAGATACAGGACAGTGATTCGGCCAGCATGCATGCCAAGCAGGGTTCTTTCGCAGATCTGAAGAGATTTTTCAAAAAGGGCAACCACCACAAGGCAAAGAGAGACCCTTCGCAGACAAGCCAGAGCTCAGGTACTCGGACGCCCCCAGCCTCGCGGTCCGGACCACAACGACAGCCGTTTGGCGATGACCATGGCTTGATATCAAAGTATGGCAAGCTGGGCAAGGTTCTCGGTTCCGGAGCTGGCGGCAAAGTCAGGCTTATGAAGCGCCACGACGATGGAGTTGTGTTCGCGGTGAAGGAGTTCCGGGAACGTTATGGGTACGAAACCCAGAAAGAATATGTGAAGCGATTGACGGCAGAGTTCTGTGTCGGGTCGACCCTCCACCACGGCAACATCATTGAGACGCTCGACATCTTGCAAGAGAAGGAGCGCTGGTACCAAGTGATGGAGTATGCCCCTTACGACCTCTTCGCCATTGTCATGACGGGCAAGATGAGCCGCGCCGAAATCACCTGCTGCTTCTTGCAAATTCTGAATGGCGTCACGTACCTCCACAGCTCGGGTCTGGCGCATCGCGACCTCAAATTAGATAACGTTGTCGTTAGCGACAAGGGCATCATGAAGATTATCGATTTTGGCAGCTCTCACGTCTTCAAATATCCATTCGAGAGCAGTATCATCAAAGCTACTGGTAGGACAGCCCTTTATCGCACTTTGGAGGTATGAAACGCTGACGTTTGGCAGGAATCGTTGGATCCGACCCTTACCTGGCACCCGAGGTACTAACTGGAGGCAAGTACGACGCAGAGGCTGTGGACATTTGGTCGCTCGCGATTATTTTCTGCTGCATGTCTCTGCGTCGGTTCCCGTGGAAGGTCCCAAAAATGACAGACAATTCATTTAAGCTCTTTGCTGCTGAGCCCACGCCTGGACACGACCCTAAGAAGCTAGTCCTGCCATCGCGGTCCATGAACGACCTCTCCAACACCCCTGCACGAGACTTCTTCGGCGGCGAGGAAGAGGAGCACGAAAGGAAACACCACCATCATCACCACCATGGCCACTCTCGCCACACATCGCGTACTGAGGGAGATGTCGCTGCGGAAGCCAACAACAATGGTGACGCACCACCATCAGAGAAGCGAGCTGCGTCACCTGAACCTGCCAAGTCGGAGACCGCGCCAAAGCCGGCCACGATCCGAGGCCCGTGGCGCGTGCTGCGTGTCCTTCCCAGGGAGAGCCGGCACGTCATCAGCCGCATGCTCCAGGTTGACCCGAAGGAGCGAGCCAAGATGGAGGAGATATTGAAAGATCCTTGGATTGGTAATAGTGATATTTGCCAGCAGTTTGGACCTGGCGGCGAAGTCAAGCTGGCTGAAGGCCATACACACATTCTAGAGTTCCCTCAGCCGCAACCCGGGAATTAGGGTGGTTCCGACACCCAGGACGAAGGGTATGGGAAGAGAAGTTAATGGGGATATTGGTGGGGGCGTTCGGTTGTATTCGACTCATACCAGGTTTCGGCATTGGATTACATTGTCAGTCAAGCGCAGAAGATACGGGGTATAGAATCAGGAGCAATTTGGTAGAGCGAACGACAGGTTATTTGTGTTTGAGAAGACCTTGGACTGCATGTTGTGATAGATAGGTAGATTTTACGGCTTGAAATGACACGCCGTGAATCTTGATGAGGCTCTGACCGACTGTTGTTTGTTACGGCCAGCTCCACACGTCCGAGAAAGGGGCATGGGCACGGTGCGCGAGTCGCGGTAATGATTTCTAGTCACACTGTGCTACGATGTCGGACCTCGGAAAAAGCGAGGGGCCGCTTGGACCCAAAAAATTGTTGCTGGGCAAATGGGGGATTCTGGAAGCTCTTGGAACAGAATAGCTTCAGACCAAAGAACTGTCCCTGACACAACAACACCTTAAACCACACCATCAACATCCTCTATTGCCGCATCCCACGCCCTCGCTCCCCGTAGACACACGCTCAGATCCCGTTACAATGGTACGTCATCTTCCATCTTGCGTTGGTGCCACTCGAATGCTTTCGACAGTCTTTCGACAACTTCCCTCGCTCTTCGAGTCAATACTTGACAGATCACCATGCGCCATAATACCAACGCCAACCGGATCGCAAGCTAATGTGATCACCTACTCCAGGCCACCTCTATCCGCTCCATCCGCTCTCTCGCTCCCTCTCGACCGCGTCCTGATTCAGCGCGTCAAGGCCGAGACCAAGACCGCAGCGGTATCTTTCTGCCCGAGTCCAGCGTCAAGGAGCTGAACGAGGGCAAGGTTCTCGCCGTCGGCCCCGGTGCCTCGACAAGAATGGCCAGCGTCTGCCCATGGGCGTCAACTCTGGTGATCGTGTCCTGATCCCTCAGGTATGTATCGCCATCTGCGAAGGGACCAACACTAGGCCCCTTGGGTTCGGAGCTGTTGTGACTGACTCGTTTGCAGTTCGGCGGTTCCCCCGTCAAGGTCGGTGATGAGGAGTTCCACCTGTTCCGGGACAGCGAGTGAGTTGATCTGGCCCCTTCCGTTCTCGGGTGCACAGTGGCACGTTGCGTTCTATGATCAGCTTTAGTGGACTGACACAGCTCTAGGATCCTGGCGAAGATCAACGAGTAAACGATACCCCTTCAATACGAAAAGCCCTAGCAAAGACAAATGTAAAACACGGTGTACCAAAAGATGGAAACGATTTTCGGGGGCGGACATTTCGGCTTTGGCATAGAATTCCCGGTGTATTGTAATGTACGGCGCGTGGCGTGCAGCCGCGAAGTAGTCTTCCCGGGTGGGATGGGCGTCAGCCCGACCTCGCCAATCGAAGTTAACTCTGCTCACTTCTTGATTAACACCTACCATCCCCATGAAGCTGATGTGTTTTGTACCGAGGAGTGGGATATTCGTAGGTGATTGTTCCACAGCCGAGCACTCTCTTGAGAGTCAAAGGCGTGCTCACAGACCGGTCACCCTGGCGGCCCTGTCCAGATTGGAGCTCAGGAAAAAAGAAAGGCATCGACGACTGCCAGCGCAGAGACGACATCCATTCAGCCTCACTTGCCACTTGCTTCAAGTACAGCCGACAGAATCAGGGGGGCGCGGTTGCTTGCAGGACACCCGATAGCCACATGCTCGGGGTCACCCAATCAGGTTTTCATGACAGACGTCGTGTCTCCTGGATGATCGTCGGCTGGTAATTGGCCCTCTGTACTTTTCCTTTTGCCAAGCAAGCGGCCATGCTTGTTACTCCCAGCCCTGTCTCGGGGGCGTCAGCGCGTCCGGCGCCAAGGTCGGCTGCCGTGACCACAGGCGATACGTCGCGAGAAAGATGCTGCCCCTTTCTTTGGTGAGTTGAAAGCATCCGTCGGCTCCGTGCCTTAGCTCGACCGGACTAAGCTATCGTGCCGTCTGACATTTACAAGGCTTGCGGGGTAAGACTGAGGCGACGGGCTAGAGACGACGACGATCGTTCAGCAGGTCATCCATCATCATGATAAGGTTGTTATAAGCATCAATTTGCTACCATCTGACCCGCTGATAGTACCCAGCCTCAGATTGACCGCCAGCTAGAGGCCGTTCATCGCCCCGGGAACGAGGCCGCCATCCCTCCACCTCAGTGTTGGATGAGCGCCCTCGAATGACAAAGGAAGTCGACGTTCCCACAAGACGAAATCGCTCGTTTCATCCTGTCTTGCTTGATCGCACGCTAGAGTACGCCATCGGCTACGAAGGACTACGGGAAAGGGCTGGATTTTCGGCCTGCTGAGGCTTGCAGACGACGCCACGACCCTTCTGTCCTTCGGCTAGAGAGCGTGCGCACGAAAATGCGTGTTGCTTATGCTGCAGCCGCGGTGGCGTGAATCAATCAGGAGATGTCCATTTCAGGGGCTGCTTGATGCTATGTGCAACACATCGTGTGGTGATGGGGTTGTGCTCTATCTTGTTCAAATGGCCTGTCAGCAGATCATTCTCATGTTTGAACCCGAGGGCGCGCTGGATATAAAACTTGGTCCATGATCGCCAAAAATGACTCTGATCTGCCTTCTCCTCATTCTCTTTCGACCTCTAGGTCTTTGGTAACTGCCATTACACTCATTCATCTTCGCCGCTATTCTTTCCAAGCCTCGGGCTTTGGGATTCTTTCATTCCTTCACTCCTATTCCTTTGCCCAGCAAGACACTGTTGAACAGTGTACATCAACTTTTGCCGTCCTCTTCCGTTGCTCAGAAAACTCTGCGTACCATCGTATCTTGCACGTGGCAGGCTCACAGCACGCTTTTCCACACCAATCTGATTTATACAAAGACATTACTATGAACTTGAAGGCCGCCGTAGTGCTCGCCCTTGGGGTTTCGGCAGCTCCCTTGGCGACTGCGCATACTCTTCTCTCGAAGATCTACATTGACGAGGTCTCTCAGGGTGATGGGACTTGTCTTCGGATGCCCGAGGACGGTAGCAAGACCACTTCTCCAGTCGACAGCCTCGAGAGTGATGACATGGCTTGCGGTACGATACATCTCCTGCCACATCTCCAACCATGTCTACGCGGTGCTAATTATGCTAGGCGCAAACGGTGATACACCGGCAGCATTTGTCTGTCCCGCTCCTGCTGGCGCGACACTGACCTTTGAATTCCGCACCTGGCCTGACGCAAGTAACCCTGGAGCCATCGATCCGTCCCATGTTGGGCCCTGCTCCATCTACGTCAAGAAGGTGGATGACCCCCTGAACGACCCGGCTTCAGGAGCCGGCTGGGTAAAGCTATGGCATGAGGGCTACAATGAGGATACTGGCAAGTGGTGCGTCGACAATCTCATCGCCAACAACGGCCTTCTCTCCTTCGAGCTCCCCTCTGGCCTCGCCAAGGGCAACTATCTCGTTCGCTCTGAGATTCTTGCCCTGCACCAAGCGTACAGCAAGGGGGATCCTCAATACTATGTCAGCTGCGCCCAAGTCCATGTACAGGAAGGACCTCAAACCTTGGACGTGCCGGGACAAGTACAAAGTCAGCATCCCTGGGCATGTCGATGGGATCGGAAAAGGGCAACACATTCGACGTCTG